GGTTGCAGGTATTTCCTTCCAACCGCCCCTCCTGCTCTTTCCTGTAGAAATGCCTGGTTTCCCTTTATTTTCTTATTCTGTAAATTTTGGGTAATCTAAGTTTCTCCATTTTTGCGTTTCCCTGAAGGAAACAGGGAGGCCTCCCCTCCTTACTCAGGGCAGCCTGGGGTCGCANTCCCCATTTTTGCGTTTCCCTGAAGGAAACAGGGAGGCCTCCCCTCCTTACCCAGGGCAGCCTGGGGTCACGACAAGCCAGACTGACCCTGGTCCAAACCCAGTCTCTGTGACTTGCCAGCTGTGTGACAGGCAGATGGCTGAGCCTTGGTTTTGTCGTCTGTGACACGGAAGGAAGAATACTCATCTTGATAGGATGTACATGAGCTGATGTAAGAACGGATGAGCCCAGTGATCGGCTCACAGCGGGCACTGAAAACATTAGTTCCTGTTTCCCTTGCACACTAGGAGGCAAGGGCGCGATTCTCCAGGGCCCAGACCCAGGGCTTCTCCCCAGATGAGCAGTCTCGAATTGTGGGTGGCCATCGACTGCTCTGAAGCCATTCCTTGCTTGCCCCTGTGACTTTATCAGCCCCCTGCTAGAGGCATTTAGCTGGTGGTTACAAGCTGTAGAAAACAGACACAAGTGGGTTCAAATCCCAGCTCCGTGGTTACTAGCCATGTGACCCTAGGTCAGTTAGTTAACCTCCCTGTGCCTCAGTTTACCCATCTGTTAAATGGGGGTGCTAAAATTACTAGCCTTACAAGGTTGCTAAGAATAAATGAGTTAAATTTGTAAAGTGCTTAAAATAAGGCCTGGCACAAAGTAAGTGCTTCAGATTTATTTAATGAATATTTAATGAGAACTGCCATAGGCAGAACTAATGAGTAGATGCTGTTCCCGCTCCAGTCAGGCTCAGTCCACTGGGGGAAGAGGCTCCCCAGTGGGCAAGTGTTTCCAAGGAAAAGTAGGGAGTGTAAGGGGAGTGAACGTCGGCCCTTGTCCACACAGAAGGCCTTCCTGAGGAAGTGACGTTTGTGAAAACCTGAAATTGTTATCGGGAGAGCTGAGGGGCTCCTTTTCCCACTGAGCATTGATTTTTTTTTTTTTCCTGCCTGGTCTGTTGAGGCGGTTCCTGGTGTAGGGGAACGGGGAAGGCTCCTGGGGCTGCCCGATATTCAGAGTAAAAAGGAAAGGGGGTCTTGGGCTTGCGAACAGGCCTGTTCTGAGCTGAGCGGAGTTAGACTGAGGCCAAGGAGCACAGGGCTGTAGACACAAGCCTTTCTGGGACTCTCTCCCTACCGGGCGCACAGGCTGTTATCTCCCTGGCCAGTGGCCTAGCCTGACGGAGGGGGAGCCCATCCAACAAAGAAAGGTGCCATACCCCACATCGCCCACTGGGGGGAGGATTTTAGCCAAAGAAGGGACCTTGGGACACACTGACTTCGTGGATCTTTGCTTTGGAGAAGAGAGATGCAAGGTTGGACTCCTGAAGAATCGTGCCCATCACAACCCTCCTCCGCAGGAACACTCATCCAGCGTCCTCAGACCTGGCAGCTGTGCCAAGGCGTATCCTGGTCAGAGACAATTCTCTATGCGCGTAACAAGTTGTAAAATGTCAGGGCCACATAGGAGACCAGCCAGTCTGACCCTCTTTTCCACAAATTGGAAACATGAGGGCCAAGAGGGGAGGAGATGACCGAGGTTGCACAGCAAGGCCAGGCTGTGTCAGACCAGCCAGAACCCAGGCCTCCTGAGTTCCTGGTCACGGCTCTGCCACTCTGGGCTGTTTCCTTCCGAGTCGCTCAGATAGATTTCTTTGCCCTGTAGACCTTCCAGTGTAGGTATGAACCTCTATATTTTAACAGATGACAAAGTCTGAGAAAAGGGATGGTGAGAGACGAAGAGCTGGGTACAGCCCCCTCTAGTGGAACCCACTCGGGGCTCCAGCGTGGAGGCTCAGCGAGTTCAGGTTTAGATTGTATCTATCCCCAGTGCCCAGAAGAGTGCGGTACATAGAAGATGCTCAACACAAATTTATATAATTAACTAATTAATGAAAAACTATGGCTTCAAGTCCTCATTTATCTATAAAATTGATTATTGTGAAGCTCAAATTAAATAGTATATAAAATGACTCAGCCTCCTGTCAAGAATAAATAAACACAAGGGGTGCACATTACAGAGTGGACTGAAAATTAGCAAAAGCAAGAGGCCTATGACATATATTGTGACAATAATTGACATGCATCTGTATTAACACATTTACTTTATTTGATCCCTTCTTATTCCAAAATAAAACAAAATAATACCTATTGGCCTAGCAAGATACACACAGAGCTAGGAGAGTGGGATGTGTTGCCTTGGGCAGGGGCTGGTCTGAATCCGAACAGCTGATTTGCTCAATGTGAAGTTGACTTGGAAATGTCAGAAGCATTTTCAGTTTACGAAATAAATGAAAGTGGCTGAGTAATCAGGCAAAGTAAAACAAAATTAGGAAACTAAACAGCAGCTGGAGAAAAGGCTGATACATAAAAGCAGACCATAAAAAAGTATTGTTACTGAGTGGGACACACATTTAGGTCCTCACACTCACCGTGGAAGGACAGTGGGAAACCTGATCGTCGCACAGATGTTAGTGGGTGGCAGTGCCTCTGTCAGGGCTGGGCTGCGAGGCCCCCAATACAGTCCAGGATCTGGGGACAGGGACTTTCCACACTGGGGTTTTTTTCTGTGAGTACTCAGCTGGTCCTAAGCCAGATGTGAGAGCCAAACTGAAATTTAAAATATTATCCCTTTACCCCGGTACTTTTCGTCTCTTGCAAGTCAGGAGGAAATTCAAAGACTCTGACTTTAAATATCTCCCACTTTTTTTCAGTAACATATAAAAAAAAAACACCAACTGTATATTAAGAAAAGTGGAGCAAATTCTAAATAAAGATAAGCCAATGAGATTGAGACAACTGGGAACAGTTTGGGAAGCTGACCTCGAAAAGACAAGACAAACGTAGTTTCCCTAGGAAATCTTTCCCCCCTGCATTTTTCTAAAGAAAGCAGAGATCTCTCATGCTTGGCAGTGACCTGGAAAACTAACCACTCCTTGGAATGGCTGTTCTTTGCTTCTATTTAAACGCACAGAGAATTCACCACTGGAAGGAACTGGATGCTGCCACGGGTTTTAATGGTGAGTTCTCCAAGGTCCTGGCTTCCTGGACAGGAAAAGTGACTCCTCCTTGTCAGCCTGACTCTCAGCAGGAGGCCCTCTGGCCGCAGTAGAGGCTCGGTTGCAGGTCACTGAACTTCCCTTTTCCTTCCATCCCCCGCAAACCCTGTGAGCGACAAGGTCCTTGCTATTTCCAAAGCTGGTCTCTTAACGGAAGGAAGACAAAAAATTGACCCAAGTGCCAAGAGCCAGAGACCACTCTAAAGTGGAAAGACATGACCGGACTGTTGTTTGGCCAGAAGACATGGTCAAGGGCCACTTAAGAAGATGGGTGTCTACAGGGGAATTGTCCTGAGTCGGAATTCAAGCAGCCAGGAGCACGGGGCTCCGTGGCCGTTAGAAACAATCGCAGACAAGTTGCTAATTTCTCTGGATCTCAGCTCACCTGGGAAATGAGCACCAATCACTTCTGCCCTGATCGCCTGCTGGAGGCAGGGAGAAAATGGACAGGAAAGGGTCACAGACCATGACTACTAGACACTAACAAGGAATTACTGTAATAACCTATGTCCCAGCATCGCCAGCGAGAAAGAAGTAGGTGTAATAGCTACCATGTTTGGGTGCCTGCTTTGTGTCACACATTTCCATCTAAATGTCCCAAACCTCACAATATAGTTACAATTGTCCCCATTTGACAGGGGACAGCTGAGACTCGGGGAGGGAGAGTGACCCTCCAAAGCTCATTCAGCTATTAAAAGGCAGAGTGGGGATTTGAACTCACACCTGTCACCCTGTGTCTAATAAAGAGGCAAAGGGAACATATTAGGGGTTAACATAAAAAGACTAATACGACGGGTGATGGCCAAAAGCCTCAGAAGGTTTCTGAGGGAGGATGTTGAACTTTTATTTCGTTTTAAAATGGGGGCGGCAGTCCTGGGGTAGGCAGAGCTCGGCTGTGGGCAGGGCGGTGGGAAGGCACTGTGGTCCTGGGCGCGCTGGTGCCCCCGGAGCCCTTCAATGTGGAGGGCTGGTGGGAAAGGGTGACCCTGCACCCTCGGCCCAGTGACCAGTGGGGCCATGTGGGCATGGCGAGTGGCCAGCCGGAGCTGCGTTTCTAAGAAGAGAGGACAGGAGACAGGATGGGGGGGAACGTGAAGTCCACTTTGGGGCTCCCTCTCGTCTCCACGTCAGTAGTGAGCAGGCAGGGGACGGGTGAGGTGTCCCAGGAAGGGACAGGCTGGATCGCCTGCCTAGATAACAGAATGACTCGGTAATGTCCGGGGGGACTGTGCACGTTCCAACATCTCCATTTGCTCCCTGGAGCCTCAGCCCCCCCCCCCCTC